GTACACACGCACACACACACGCACCGCACGCACAAACACACGCGCACACACACACACGCACACGCACCGCACGCACCGCACGCACAAACACACGCGCACACGCACACACAACCCACAGACGACGGCCTTAGAAATCTGCACAGAGGCTCGACGCGTGAGCCAAACACGCTAGCTTAATAGCATAGAGCTTCAACGCGCGCGAGGACGCACCGGGTGAGTGTGAAATGCACGCAAATAGAAACTCGTGTTTGCACTCGAGTTATTTAGATGTACATCCCAGCGACTGGAAAGGAGAAAGGTCATCACGATTCGCTATAGGATGCAGCGCGGGTCATTCACTCGTCTCTGCGACTGGCTGAGACAGCAGCTCCCTCCCATCAACAGCGACAGTAAAATAGAAGCTTACCCTGACGCGATTTTCAGGGCCCGTAGGAGTTGCCCTTAACTTTTTTTTTCAGGTGGCCGGCCGGGCAACTTGAGTATGAGATTCAGGTGGCCAAATGGATTTTCAGGTGGCCCGGTTGCTACATTTATTAAATAATTTATTTGTATCCTAACTATGGGTAATGTGTTTTGGCAAATAATCGCAATAACATAACTAGATTACGACAACAACAAAGAAAGAACAAAACCCTGACTGAGTTAAATAAGTTTCCAAATATCCCTGTCTTCTTTAGGGTTTGGCAAAAATCGCCACATCATAAAATCAAATCATATCGTATTACGTAATCAAAATCAAAGATGAAACAACACTCTGGTATGTACGCACTTGTCTTGAACTCGTGGAGAAATGAATTGCGCAACGAACCCACACAGCTGATGGGTAGCGAATGGATTGCACGTGCACTACTGTTTTGATTTAGGCCAAGTAAAGCATTGTTTCTTGTTGCGATTCACATTCTCAGAAACTGCTTCCAGTAAACCACACGTACACACACACACACACGCACGCACACGGGCACACGCAACCGCACACACACGCACACGCGCACACGCACGCACACGCGCACGCGCACACGCACACGCACACGCACACGCACACAGTTTCAGGTGGCCCGACGCCGTTTCAGGTGGCCATTGGCACCAGGGCCACCGTTAAAGTCGAGCCCTGCTGGGGTTCAGTGAGGTCAGTGTTGGGTCACTGTTAGGTCACTGTTGGGTGGTTATTGTTGGGTCACGGCCGAGACACTGTTGAGTCACAGCCAGGTAACTATTTGGTCACTGTTAGTCTACTGTTGGGTTACAGCCAGGTCACCATTAGGTTACTGTTAGGTCACAGTCAGGTCATTGTTGGATCACAGTCAGGTCACTGTTAGGTCACAGTCCGGTCACTGTTAGGTCACAGTCCGGTCACTGTTGGGTCACAGTCAGGTCACTGTTGGGTCACAGCCAGGTGAAAGTAGATGGGAGTACTCACCGATGTACTTGTTCCACTCGGTGTTGAGTTCGGCGTGGTAGGCGAGGCAGCCCTTCATGATGTTGAGACAGTAGTTGTTGCACGCCTTCACCGTCGTGATGCCGCTGCAGGACGGACAGTAGGACATGCGCATCAACGCCTGCTGGCACTGTTGCGTCGGCTCTATCTGTAACCATATAGCATGATTATGAGACACAACGTTACACACGTTAGACGTCTCGCTCTCTCTCTCTCTTCCCCTCTATTACTTACTCATGCACTCGTCTCAATATGAAGTCAAAGCCCGCTGGCGGACAAGTTTCCAAAGGCGCACAGTTGTTAGCTCGGTTCGATGTCTGTTTATTTTTCACGTTTTCAGACATAAACTCCCGGCTTATTATAAATCGTGCCGACATGCCTGTCGTCTGTGTGTGTGTGTGTGTGTGTGTGTGTGTGTGTGTGCGTGTGTGTGTGTGTGTGTGTGTGTGTGTGTGTGTGTGTGTGTGTGCGTGCGTGCGTGCGTGCGTACATACGAACACTGCTGCATCAACTCCCAACTCTCGCAACAACCCGCGAAAATGAAGCAAAATAGCTGTACCCGGTTGCATCCCCCAGCTTAACATCACAGCACAGTGCCACACCCCTCACCCCTATCTCTCTCTCACACACGCACGCACGCACGCACGCACGCACGGACGCACGCACACACACACACTCTCTCTCTATCTCTCTCTTTCTTTCGTTCTCTCTCTCTCTCTCTTTATCCTCCGCCTTCCGTCTCCGACACAACAACCAAAAAACCTCTCCGGGCTTCTCCCCCGTGCTTGCTAGACTGACGCCAAATATCCCTAGGGACGAACCCTCATTCAGTTTTGTTTTACGAAACAGACACACGGAGCCAGTCTAGCCGGTGGGGCCTTCATGCTATTTATTGTTCATTAGGAGAGAAGGTTAGTGAGTGTTTAACTTTAACAGCAGCTGGTGTTTGCGTGGAAGGCCACACCTTCTCCCGATTATTTTACCTAGTAATTAATGAGCAATGGCGAAAGACGTTGACACAAAAAATCGCAACCCATTATTCATGAAATGTCAACTTCAACACTGTTTTGCCATTACCAGAAGTATATATAACGAGCAATCAATAATAACACATACTACAATTGACACTGGGAATGGTACACCTCTAGTATTATCTACAGGTTTATTAATTCGGAGTAATTTTAGAAATGAGAACCGGAAATCCGCCCGCCGAATTCTTTTATCTTAAAATTACGAAGATTTGTTAAACTAATGAATTCAATAAAGCTGCTTCACGTAGCAATGTAATTCAACTGTCAATTCACACGAGCACCGTGACTGAGCTACATAATGATGAAGAAAGAGAACTGACAGCAAAAAGCCGTTAATATTCCCGTTTCTCGCCTTCGGATTTAAAATGCAAATTCCGCGTCCACTAACTAGACTGACGCCGTAAGTCGTTTGCTGGCATTCAACAGCCTCGTGGTTATGCAGCAGCTATGGGGAACGAGTTGGAGTCAGTCTATTCGATAATTGAGACTGATCACGAACTACGCACGGTTGAATAATTAAACTCGTCTCGCTTCTTCCCGCTTGCGTGGCATCGCATCACTACCAAAACATAATCAATTATCATTCTCCACAGACACCCCGGCAGAGAAAACAAGCTGAAATGCACGCAATTTGATTCATTTTCCTCGCACAAGAACCCCCGGTCTTAAACAAGCCAAATTAACGCATCTCGCCGCGAAATTTCTCTCAGCCTCCTCATCAGTACCAGCATCCTTTCTTCGACAGACGTGCGAGCGCGCGCGTGCGAGCGCCGCCATGTCACGTTGCGCAAATATTTATCAAAACATTCTATAAACATACAGAGAGGGAAAAAATTACACTTTGTGAAAAAAGATCGAGTCGTTGCTGGTCACTGCCACCACACTGTAGACAAAGACGCCTCCACTGCCCCTCGCTACGTACGCACGCACGCACGCACGCACGCACGCACGCACGCACGCACGCACGCACGCACGCACACACACACACCTCCTATCCCTGTACACAACGTAGAACGATACGTGCACAGGCACTTGGAAGTTGGAGCGTTTCACTAAAATATAATGCTAAATAAATACGAAATCTGTTTACTACCAAAGTCTTAATGTTTCTCTACTCGCTTTCACCTATTATTGCCGACAATTTCCTGTAAATGCCGTCCAAATGCTCATCTGCAACACACGCTGGCTGCCGCACGCTAGCTCAGCTGCTGCACACTGACACATAAATATAATAATATATATATAAATGTAGAAATGTAGAAAAATAAAATAGGTGTTGTCATTTTTATACAGTTATTTTCATATCTACATGCATGAGTGTTCGTGTGTTTACTACTATTCTCTCTCTATACAGATAGATAGATAGATTAATTATACATATATATATAAATATATGAGACGTTTCCTGGTCACCCCTCCCAGCCACACCGTATACGAATCTGTTTATCAAGACTATTCATCGTTTTTTTTTTTTCACCGCCAGATTCCATGACAGATTTAGTTTCAACCATTAATCACAAAATTCCGCCCCGTAAACTAACATGTCCTTTCATCGCGCCGCCTCACGCGAATCGACGATCCTACTTGTGATTCGGCCAATAATTTGCAATAACGATATTACAAATCGTGTGCCCCCTTCCCCCACAACCTTGCTTTCGCATCTAACCAAAACTATTTATCAGCATGTCCCACACCGCAGTGGCTAAGCCTAACGAAACCTAATGAACATAAACCACAACCCGGTGTCTCCCTGTTCAACTATAAGAAACTCATATCACTGTTAAGACTGCGTGCGTGCTGTCTTCTTCTCACCACAAGCCCCGTGCCTGCTTGTTCAACGAAAAACTTATTCGGTATGCCTGCCTGCACACGCGTGTTCCAGCATGACAGCTTTAACAGACACGCACAACTCCTATATGGCACGAGGCATCTGGCCGCGACACTAACCAGTGCCATAACGTAACACAGCGCATGGACAGGCGTGTCTACGCAGGGTTACGTTATGCTATCGCTATCGACGAGCCCACAACGTTATGTGTCAAGCTGGATAACGTCGGCATGCCCCGGCCGACGGCCAGCCCGTGCGAGAGGGGGGAGCTAGTGGCTACGCCCATAAAAACATTCTCCTAGTGCTCCCAGGCATAGTATATTCTAGGGACACCTTACGGTCTCCTATGTACGGCGTCTTGCAAGCATGTACGTCACGTAGTCATCTATCTACATATCGTGGCCAAACTCGAGCATGATAGATGTATTGCGGGGGGACTATAGCTGAGAGGGTCTATGTCCCCCGGAGGTACTGCCGGAACGTACCCTGGGTACGGTCCGGTATACCGGAACGTACCCTGGTACTATCTAATATGCCGTACCGTACCTCGCCTACTCCACTAACGAGTCTAGGGAGTCGCCTACGCCTACTCCCTAACCCTAACCCTAACCCTAATCATAACCCTAACCATATCAAATAGTGACCAGGCTACGTACCGGTATACCGGACCGTACCCAGGGTACGTTCCGGCAGTACCCTGGGGGACATATACCCTATGAGCGCAACTGCTGCACCTAAATTCGGTCCGGATTTCAGACGCGTCAAGACATATTCCCCCATTGCTAGCCGCAGACTCGGGTGGGTCGAGTTGTGCAGCAGCAGCAGCAGCAGCAGCAGCAGTAGAATTATAGCGACAAAGGCAGCCGTAGACGTCGACGGCAACATAAATCATTACACGACCGTAAACTGCTTACGGCCATTAAAAGTTTTTGTGCGCCATTAGAGAGCAGCAGCGCCGCCGCCGTTAGACGAACACCGGCGCTCGCCACGCCATACACGCCACCGTTGTCGCGCGCGACGCCCGCGTACGTCTACGGTGCAGTTATTTCAGTTAGTCTCCGACGAAACTATTTGATCGCCGACGTCGGAGATTCGACGCATTTCGAACATAAACCGATACATTTATTTTGTCACTTTGTTTCCACAGCGGTCAGCATGAAAGGTAGCGCGAACCAGTGCACGTATAACGATGAAACGATGATGGTAATAACGCCTGCGTAAACGTTTAACATCACACAAAGCGGCCCGACACGCATGGAAAACACGGATGGAGTTTGACAGCAGCAGAAGAAATACAGCGGTGCCCGGGACAGGTCGAAAAATATGAAAATGTCCCCAGGGTTCTGAATTAAGGGCCACGAGCAGCTGTCTACAAAGGTCAGTTTGCTGCCTGTTCTCAATGTCGGCAGCAAATACTGGCTGCCAAGAAATTCCTAATAAACCAAAGTAAAAAAAGAGTTACGGGCAATGTCTGTATGGGACGATATTGACGATGGCCAGTTGTTCTAGGCTGTTGTTGTTTTTCAAATCTCGTTAACCCTAGGTTACCGTCCACACTTCATTCGACGTGCAACTTTGGATGTGGGTGACTATATTTAGAATCAGGGCTAGGAGACCAAGCCAGCTTCCTTATGGACAGAGGCAATAGGACAGTACGGTTGGTAGAGAAGAAAGTGGAGCTGCTATGGTTTCCTCAAGTTTCGGCCTGGGCGCATGAGTAAGCGTGCCCGATGTGTATCTAGTATATCTACCCGACATGTAGGTACGTAATCGCTGCGTCCGATTAAGCGGTGGTGCCGATTAAGCGGTGAACACATAACAACGTGTGTAAGGATTGTTTTGCAAGGCGTTTGTCGTTTAAGCGATGCGCCCCTTTATCCGTGGCCAGATAAGGTACCGCTGTACATGTTATGCAGCTATCTATATCTGATAGCGGGATCCCTTAGTCCAACTCGAGCCTATAGTTAGTGGCCATTCTTTCGCTGGTCCGCGTACAGTTGGACGTGACCTACCTATTCAGGTTGGGTCGGTTCGCTAATGACGAAGAAAGGCATCTGGCCAGGTAAGGCAGGTAAAGAGCAGACAGGTTACAAGATGGGGCAAGTGATTAACAAGCCGGTAACAAACAGGCAGCCAACAAAGATATACATAATAGGAGGCGGCAGGCATGCAGGCAAGCAGGCAAGCAGGTAGGCACGCAAGCAAGCAAGCAGGCAGGTAGGCACGCAAGCAAGCAGGCAGGCAGGTAAGCACGCAAGCAGAAAGGCAGGCAAGCAAGCAAGCAGGCAG